TAGATAGATAGATAGATAGAGGGGGGTAGATGGAGATAGATGGATGGGTGGTGGATGGGGGTAGATAGATAGACGGGGTGGATGGGGTAGATAGATAGATAGATAGATAGATAGATAGATAGATAGAGGGAGTGGATGGGGATAGATAGATAGAGGGAGTGGATGGGGATAGATAGATGGGTGGATGTGGATGGGGACAGATAGATAGGGTGCGTGGGGATAGATAGATAGATAGATAGATAGATAGATAGATGGGGGGACAGATAGATAGATAGATGAGGTGGATGAGGATGCAGACATTTAGATATGTCCAAAAGAAGAAAAAGTTGTTGCCAAAAAAATTAGGAGAAAAATCAACTTTTTCCCTCAAAATTTAAACCAGTTTTGGCAAAACTTTCCCAAGGTGTTTTCATTCCATTGTCAATTTCTGTGCATTTCAAAGATTCCCTCCCACTAATATTGAATCTGAATCGACCCTTGATTTTTAATGTCCTTTGCCAAAAATTTGGCTTTTCCATTTCGACACCAGTATTGTGTCTTTCAGCAACACGCCGTCATGGGACCGAATGGAGCAAGGGGGGAGGCTGGGGGCAGGACAAATGACCCATCCATAAGTCAAGAAATGAAGCCAAATGGCTTTAATTAAAAAAAAAAAAATACCTGGAGAAAGGCAGAGAAAAACCCAATGATTTTACCAGAAAAAAGTCAAACGCTTTGGACCCTCCCAAAGGAGGCCACGGGTTTAAACCCTGGGCTGATTTGTGCCTTTTGAACTTTTCCATGCCCTTCCTTTTACATTGTGCATTGGCAAGAACTTGATCCCTTTCTACCTCGAAGACAGCTTTTGGGTACTGAAAACCATCCCTCACCCGCTAGCCATCAAGATCAGGGCCCTGTCGGGCCCGGCGCTGATGGAATCTAGTCAGAATGTAAGAACATCCTGTATTAATTAACGGCACGTTTCATCCACAGACCTCCAAGCGCTTTACCTAGTCAGACTAGTATTGTTATGCTCTGGTATGCAAATGGGGAAACTGAGGCCGGCAGCAGCCAAGGGACTGACCCAGCCGGCCAGTGGCAGAGGAAGGAATGAGAAATCAGGCATGCTGAGCCTACCGATATCCCCGACCATTTAAAGATGGCGACAATAGGAAGGAAAAAAAGATACATCCATGAAAAACATTTTGGGGGCTAAAAAAATGACCAAAAAATCCCATGTTCCCTCCCCCGAAAAATGACCAGTAGATTTTGCCAAAATCGCCAAGAATTTTTCCACCAGGGGTGGGTGTTTCAAGCGGCGGGATTTGCCGCGGCTCCCCACGGCATCGGAAAGGGAAGGTTCACTTGGTGATTCGTGGTGGGAGGAAGGCCCCGACCCTGGGGGGAAACCTCAGCCTCTGGTTAATTCTGTATGCTTGCGTCAGGGCCGAGATACGGCTGGACGGCGCTGCACACGGAGTGACGCCGGAGAGTTAATAAATCAGTCACCTTGCTGAGCCCTAGGGCAGCTCATCCACACACCTCCCATTGCTTTGCAAAAGTTCGTGAGCCCTGGTCTAGAGATGGGGAAACTGAGGCATGTGGAAAGGTCATGCCCAAGGTCACCCCACAGGGAACAAGAATAGAAGCCAGAAGTGCTGATGCTCAGCCCCACTCCACCCTGCTCTAAACCATCAGATGCCACTCCCCTCCCAGAGCTGGGGATAGAACCCAGAAGTCCTGGCTCCCCACCCTAACCACTAGACCCCACTCCCCTCCCAGAGCTGGGGATAGAACCCAGAAGTCCTGGCTCACAGTCCCCCCTGCTCTAACCACTAGGCCCCGCTCCCCTCCCAGAGCTGGGGATAGAACCCAGAAGTCCTGGCTCACAGTCCCCCCTGCTCTAACCACTAGTCCCCGCTCCCCTCCCAGAGCTGGGAGAGAACCCAGAAGTCCTGGCTCACAGCGCCCCCCTGTTCTAAACACTAGCCCCCGCTTCCCTCCCAGAGCTGGGGATAGAACCCAGGAGTCCTGACTCCCCACCCTAACCACTAGACCCCACTCCCCTCCCAGAGCCGGGGATAAAACCCAGGAGTCCTGAATCTTTCAGGCCGTAAGAGCTTAACTCCTACCAACACCAGGCTGAGTTCTACCTGCCCTGAGAGCTCCCTGAGCTGCTGGGGAATCTCCTCCAGCCAGGAGCACTATAGGGGGCAGGACACAGATGGGGGAGCGCAGTTCTGATTGCAGCCATCGAGGCAGCACGGCTCTCTCTCATGCACAGAGCAGGACCCAGCCCCTCCACCAGGGAACACACACACACACACACACTTCAGCCCTGCTTATTTATTCCTGGTGCGATGGGGGCCTCTGGCCTCAGACAGGGGAACTAGGGACCCCACCCCACCCCTTTATCCGCTCCCTGGCCTTGTCTACACTACGAGAGTAGTTCGATTTTACCTGACTAATGAGGGCTAATTGGTCTCCTTGGGGCAGCATTTAAACACAGAGGCTTGGAACTAGAGAAGGTGCTTAAAAGGGTGGCAGAATTTGGGGGGAGTTTGGAGCCCAAATTGTAAGTGTACTCACAAATGACTGAATCCCCTTATGCCCAGCCCCACGCCCCACCCCAGAGGGGCCGCATCTCAGTGCTGGACAAGGGGTCCCTGTATACCCAGCCCTTTGCCCCACCCCAGAGGGGCCGCATCCCAGTGCCGAGCGAGGGGTCCTCGTATAACAAGCCCCAGCATGAGCTGATGGGGGATGGCAGGGTGGGGGCTGGGTGTCAGGTGCGGGGGCTGGAGGGGTAATTGGGGGTCACTGTTCTTTGCAGGTCACATGACCGGTCTCACCCGCCGGGATAAGTGGCAGGTGGTGGATTCCCCGGCTCTATGTTTAGTGGCTAATGACGGGTTGGGATGGCTCAGCGCCTCGGCAGGGCCTGTACAGGCAGGTCTGGAATCCCTGCCCTTGGCCCCGCTACTGCTGTCTTCTGCCACCTCTTGTATAAAGTAGTCCCTACAAAAACTCTTTACAGAGGCATCTATTTCCCCGCCCCCTGGGCAGGGATTGGGGCCTTTCTTCTGTAGGGGCCCAGGGTGGGATGGGCTGGCTCAGGGAGACAGGGGATGGGGCTTGGGGCCTTTCCTCTCTATGGGCGCCGGCTCCCATCCGACCCCAGGGCAGGGACTGGCTGGCTTAGGGGGTCCCTCACCACAAAGTAGGGCGACCAGCCAGCAAGTGTGAAAAACCGGGACACGGGGTGGGGGGTAATAGGAGCCTATATAAGAAAAAGACCCAACAATCGGGACTGTCCCTATAAAATCGGGACATCTGGTCACCCTACCACAAAGCCATCATGAGTGGCACTATTTGGCCAGTTCAGCCCAGGAAGGAGACCAGTGACTTAATTGGCCAGCAAAATGGAGCATCCCTCGCTGGGGTCCCCCAGGGCAGTGTGTGTGTGTGGTGGGGGCTGCATGTGTGTGTGGTGGGGTGGGGGTG